TGAGTTCTCTGGGTGCCCTTGGCACAGTTCACAGCACCACAGCAAAGAAGTCCACCATCTCTGCCATCACAGGCCTTCTGGCGGATTGTAGCAGCCTCTATTATTTCAATGTATAATTTATATGTCCCATTTCCACTGCCAAGGACAGCCTACAAAGTACACTTGATTCCACACAGGAAACTGGGAACTCTGCCCTCTGAGATACGTGTGTTCTCCACCCACGACCACGCACAACTTTCCCAAAGTCTTTCACTTTACTGGGGTGCCCCACTAGGCCAGGAACAGTGAGACCTGGGAGTAATAGGACAATAACCACAATTTCGAGGCTGAGCTTAGAGACGGGGGTATGGGTGACATCAAACACATATGATGTGTTTGTAGCAGCCGCAGGGCTGTACCCAGCAGGCTGGGATTCACAGCTGCACACAGTCAGATCTTAGTAGCTAAGCAGCATGGCCAACCTGCCATCAGGTCTCTAATCAGAAGCCTGGGTTCCAATTTTGATGCTGGCTACCCAGGAGGCCTCAGAAACGTCATGCCAAGCCTCTGGACTTGAGCCTCCTCATCTTTAAAATATAAATGCACCAACTCCTGCCCTCCCAGCCCTGCCAGGTTGCAGCAAGAATCAAGAGGAATAATATCTGATTTGCTTTGTTGGAAACAGTGAAAAACATGCAAACCTAGACAAATAGGTAAGGTTTTTAAAACTTCTATAGCAAAACTGCTAAATTTTTGATATAGTAACCACATATGTTGCCGTTTAAAACAAGGGACATGTTATGTAAATTGCATAGTTGTCTCTGCCAACACATACGTATCAACTAGCTTAAATAAAAAGATCTTCTGTGCTTTAAGAAAGAAAAAAAAAAGGAGAGAGGAATAATACACATAGGCGTTCTTTGTAAAGCACTGTACTCTGGACTTCCCTGGTGGTTCAGACTGTAAAGAATCTGCCTGCAATGCAGGAGACCTGGGTTTGATCCCTGGGTCAGGAAGATCCCCTGGAGGAGGGCACATAAACCCACTCTGATATTCTTGCCTGGAAAATCCCATGGACAGAGGAGCTTGGCGGACTGCAGTCCATGGGGTCACAAAGAGTCAGACATGACTGAGCGACTAAGCTCAGACACATCCTCTGGCTACTCAAAGTGCGGTCCGTGGTCTGGCAGCATCAGTACCACGTGGGAGCTTGTTAGAAATGCAGGTTCCCAGCTCCCTCTCTGGGTTTCCCTGGTGGCTCAGCTGGTAAAGAATCTGCCTGCAATGTGTGAGCCCTGGGTTCAAGCCCTGGGTTGGGAAGATCCTCTGGAGAAGGGAATGGCTACCCACTCCAGTATTCTGGCCTGGAGAATTCCATGGACTGTACAGTCCATGGGGTTGCAAAGAGTCAGACACGACTGAGTGACTTTCACTTTCACAGGTCCCTCTCCAGGCCTGCTGAATTGGAATCTTTTACCCACTCCCCCCAACTAGGTGATCTTTGTGAGAAGCTCTGTGATAAGCAAACCTAAATGTGGTGTGAGGGCAGGGACATGCAGGGTAGAGCCTCCTACCTCTCTAAGTTCAAGTTCAGTTCTCCCACTGCCTGCCTTAGGGTCCTTGGGAAAGCTTTTAGAGGCTTGTTTCCTCAACTAGAAAATAGTATCTTGTTACTTTCTCTTTCCTGGTGGGGTGAAAAGAAAGGAAGGGGTGCCCAGAGTGGGAGCTGGGAACCTGCATTTCTAACAAGCTCCCACGTAGTACTGATGCTGCCAGACCACGGACCACACTTTGAGTAGCCAGAGGATGTGTCTGAGCTTAGTCGCTCAGTCATGTCTGACTCTTTGTGACCCCATGGACTGCAGTCCACCAAGCTCCTCTGTCCATGGGATTTTCCAGGCAAGAATATCAGAGTGGGTTGCTGTGCCCTCCTCCAGGGGATCTTCCTGACCCAGGGATCAATAGCCAGATATAGCCAGATAAGAAATGGAGAAATAGAGAAGATAAAATGATGAAGAAGAGCAGGAAACAGGCCAGTGCTTCCTTCTGCCTGCCCTGTGTCCCCTCCACCCCTCTCTTCCCCAGTCTCCAAAACCTGTTTGTTGACCAAAGGCAGCTGAAAACTGAGCAGCTCCTGCTCTGTTGGCAGAGAGCCCAAGTGGCAACCAAAGCAGATGGAAAGAGAAGGCGTGAAATTGGGAGCTCTGAGGGTCCCTGGTTCTTCCAGGAGAGCTGGTGAGTTGTTCCCAGAGCCTGTTCCCAGACCACAGAGCATCCCAGGGATGGTACCCGGAGAGCTAAAACTGAGGTCAACAAGGGGATGGGAGGAACCACAGAGCAGCCTCATCCTCTGGGTTGCAGGTTGTCTTGGAGACCTTGCCTGCACATGTAATGACTGACATTACACTGGATTTTCTGTTAAGCAAGCTTCTGGATATAACCTGAAGGTGAGGGGACTTGACCTGTGTTCATAATTTTCCAGTGAAGCTGGGAAATGGACCGCATCACACTCTACAAAATTCCATTCAAGTAATTACCCAGGAAGAGGTATTATAATTGCACAGATAGAAGTGCTCTATTCCATGGGTTCAAAAATACTGACTTTACAGGGCTGTGGTGAGCATTAAATGAGATAACGTGTGGACTGCTCTTGGCGTACGACTTTTGATTAATCTTTTCCCTTCAGTCTTACAGATGAATTGAAAGCTTTGGTCTGACCCAGAGGTCTCGTCCTTGGCCTCAGCCCTGGCAGCTGCATTCTAATGAATCTGCTAATCGACGTTTCTAATTCATGGTGATGGAGCCCCCAGCCCTGATCCTAAAAGCCCCGGCTCATGGCTGGTAGATTATGTTTTTATTTTTTCTGAAAAAGCTCTTCTATTTTTTTTTTCAAATACCACAGGCAGCCTGGCCCTCTGTACTTTCTGCAGCTAAAAATGATCTCTTGAGGAAATCAAGTTAAAGAAATCCTTGCAGACAATAGTTTTAAATGCTCCTGGGTGCGCACGTTTAAAACCCAGAGAATTTACAAGCCAACATGTGGGATAAATAGTACAGACTGAGGACTGACTAGCTGTGACAGATAGATTTAGTGGCCCCAGATCTTTACCCCTCCCTATATCCACACCCCTGCCATGGCCTCATTTTGGGCAGGCAGGGTAATTCTACACTCTCGGATTTTCAGCTTGATTGTGTGACTTGCTTTGGCCAATGGAATGGAAGAAAAGTGACAGCCTGCTGATTCCAAGCCGAGGCCTTAAGAAGCTTTGTAGGCTTCTGCTGTCACCATAAAAAGAACTTCCCCTAGGCTGCTGCTTCCCCATCAAGCTGGACTCCAGGATGAACCCACTTGGATCAGAGCTACCCCAACTGCCCACAGACCGTGAGGGAAAGTCAAAGCTGCTGCAATTGCCACAGCTTGAAGCAGTCATCTGGTCAACCCCAGCCTAGAATAACAGAACTGCCCCAGCCTTCGTGCAGAGCCAAAGAGGCAGGGGGGTGGGAATGATTGTTGTTTTAAGCCACTATGTTTGGGGATAGTTTATTTTTTTTCCCTCAATTATTTTTTGTAGTTTGAGGCTAATTACTTTACAATATTGTAGTGGTTTTTGCCATACATTGACATGAATCAACCATGGATTTACATGTGTTCCCCATCCTGAACCCCCCTCCCACCTCCCTCCCCATCCCATCCCTCTGGGTCATCCCAGTGCACCAGCCCCGAGCACTGTCTCATGCATCCAACCTGGTGTATAGAACGGACTTTTTCACTCTAGGGGGGAAGGCGAGGGTGGGATGATCTGAGAGAACAGCGTCAAAACATGTATATTATCAAGTGTGAAACAGATCACCAGCCCGGGTTGGATGGGGATAGTTTATTATGCGACATTCTTGTGACCATAGCAAACCTATACACCATGTGATGAAGCCAGGAAAATAAAGTGGGACGAAAAGAAATACAGAGGGACAAAAGGAGAGCAGGAAAGAGGGGGAAGTTGAGAGTTCTTTACACTGTGTTAGCTCATTCTGAAGATGGACCTGGCCTCCTGGGTGTCCTCAGCTCCAAGCAGACATAGTGATAATACACTTTGGTGTCACGGTATCTGGTTGTACTAGATGTTCGTAATCATGGGAACCTAAGACCAAGCCTGGAAGAAGTGGAGTTCACAGGAGGGCAGGGAAGCGACTGCAGAGCTAGGAACACCCAGGACCTAGGACCAACAAGGCCCGTATTTGCATTCAAGATGAGAGAAGGTGGGGAATCAGAAGGTACATCTTGTTGAGACTCAAGCACAACCTTGGAAGGCAGGACGGTCAGAGGGTTAGCCGTGGGCTGAGGCAGGTGAGGGAGACCCAGATTGAGCTTGTTTCGTGTGTCGGGGTTGGGTTGGGCAAGGACAAGGCAGATGCCTGGCTTTAGGAGGCGGGAACCTGAGGGTTGGAAGGAGTCTAATGGGTAGACAGGGTGTATTAATCAGGGTTCTCCTGAGTACAGGAACCAACTGGGTAGATACATAGACAGATACAGATACAGATTGGTGGTGGTGGTTTAGTCACTAAGTTTTGTCTAACTCTGTGACCCCATGGACTTCTCTGTCCATGGGATTTCCCAGGCAAGAATACTGGAGTGGGTTGCCATTTCCTCCTCCAGAGTATCTTCTCAACTCAGGGATTGAACCTGCATCTCCTCCTGCACTGGCAGACGTATTCTTCACTGCTGAGCCGCCTGGGAAGCCCAGTATAAATATAGTAATCCCAATTATTCCATGGGATATACTTATACTACACAATTTCTAGCTGTTTATCTGCCATGATCTTAGTTTTTTGAATGCTGAGTTTTAAGTCAGCCTTTTCACTCTCCTCTTTCACTTTCATCAGGAGGCTCTTTAGTTCCTCTTTGTTTTCAGCCATTGTCTTATCTTATTCAGTTGCTCAGTCGTGTCTGACTCTTTGCAACCCCATGGACTGTAGCACACCAAGCCTCTCTGCCCTTCACCATCTCCTGGAGCTTGTTCAAACTCATGTCCATTGAGTTGGTGATGCCATCCAACCGTCTCATCCTCTGTCATCCCCTTCTCCTCCTGCCTTCAATCTTTCCCCACATCCGGGTCTTTCCAAATGAGTCAGTTCTTCACATCAGGTGGCCAAAGTACTGGAACTTCAGTTTCAGCAACAGTCCTTCCAACGAAGATTCAGGAAGAATTGACTGGTTTGATCTCTTTGCCGTCCAATGGATTCTCAAGAGTCTTCTCCAACACCACAGTTCAAAACCATCAATTCTTTGTCACTCAGCCTTCTTTATGGTCCAACCCTCACATCCATACATGACTACTGGAAAAACCATAGCTTTGACTAGATGGACCTTTGTTGGCAAAGTAATGTCTCTTCTTTTTAATACACTGTCTGTTTGTCATAGCTTTTCTTCCAAGGAGGTGGTGTCATCTGCATATCTGAGGTTGTTGATATTTCTCCCAGAAATCTTGATTTCTACTTGTGCTTCATCCAGTCTGGCATTTCATTTGATGTACTCTGCATAGATGTTAAACAAGCAGGGTGACAATATACAACCTTGATGCACTCCCTTCCTGATTTGGAACCAGTCTGTTATTCCATGTCTGGTTCTAACTGTTGCTTCTTCACCTGCATACAGATTTCTCAGGAGGCAGGTCAGGTGGTCTGGTATTCCCATCTCTTTCAGAATTTTCCACAGTTTGTTGTGATCCACACGGCCAAAGGCTTTGGTGCAGTCGATGAAGCAGAAGTAGATGTTTTTCTGGAATTCTCTTGCTTTTTCTATGATCCAGTGGATGTTGGCAATTTGACCTGTGGTTCCTCTTTCTTTTCTAAATCCAGCTTGTACATCTGGAAGTTCTCAGTTCACATATTGAGGGGAGAGTTCCCCCAGAAATATATCCCACAGAATAGAGTCCCTTCATACATGAGCATGTGTAAAGTGTCTCATCCTGATATCATCTCATGCCTGTCAGAATGGCTGTTACTAAAAAGACAAGAGGGACTTTCCTGGTGGTCCAGCGGTTAGGACCCTGTGCTCCCAGTGCAGGGGCATGGGTTCAGCCCCTGGCTGGGTAACTGGCATCCTACATGCATGTGGCATGGCCGAAAAACAAACAAACAAACGACAAGAGATAACAGGTTTTGGCAAGGATGCAGAGAAGAAGGATCCCATATGCACTGTTGATGAGAATATAAATTGGTGTAGTCATTCTGGAAAACTGTGAAAATTCCTCAAAAATTCAGTTTAGAACCATATGATCTAGCTATCTCACGTCTGGGTATTTATCCAAACACAAAAACTCTAAGTTGAAGTAATACATGAACCCCTATGTTCACTGCAGCATGATTTACAATACCAAAGATATGAAAGTAACCTAAGTATCCATCAAGGGATGAATGGCTGAAGAGACATGTGTGTGTTCATGTGTGTGTTCAGTCGCTCAGTCGTGTCCAACTGTTTGTGACCCCCTGGACTGTAGCCCACCAGGCTTCTCTGTCTATAAGATTTCCCAGGCAAGAATACTGGAGTAGGTTGCCCCTTTCTCCTCCAGGGGATCTTCCTGATTGAAACTGTGTCTCCTGCATCTCCTACATTGGCAGGCAGGTTCTTTACCACTAGTGCCACCTTGGAAGCCAAAGAAGACATGGTGCCTATTTATACAATAGAATACTGCTCAGGTACAAAAAGATGAGACCTTGCCATTTGCAACAATATGGATGGATCTTGAGGGCATTATGCTAAGTGAAATAAGTCAAACTGAGAAAGAGTAATACCATATGATTTTACTCATGTGAATGATAAAAAAGCCAGCCAACCAACCAACCAACCAACCAAACAACCAAGTGAAAAAACCAAATCAAAGAAAAACAGATACCTATGTCCAGAGACCAAATAGTGGTTCTCAGAAGGGAGAGAGAGGAGGGTGAAATTGGGATCAACTGTATAGTGATGGAAACTGAGTTTTGGCGGAGAGCATGCTGTAAGACATATAGAAGTAGAAATACAATATTGTTCTCATGAATCATATAATGTTAAAACCAGTATCACTTTGGTAAAATAAAATAAAAAAGCATCTCACCCTAAGGAGTGGCCTCTGTTTTATTTTGTACAACAGAGTATAGTGGAACCCCTTCGGTCAAAGCTAGTTATGAATGTGTATAAAGATCACCTGGCAGAACTGGTAGAAAGGAGTTTCATAATTTTTTCCAGAGAGCATGGAAGTGCTGGACATCAGGTAATAAGACTTTTAAAGCATCATGGTAAGTTGTTTTGTAGTGAGATTACAAACACTTGAAGAAGAACGGTTCCAACGTTGTGCAAACAAGGACTTGTGGCTTGGGATTAATTTTCCAGCAACAGCATCTTTAATAGTTTGAAAAAGTGGGAAAAGGGGGCATCACTGAATATTCAAGATCACCTCCAAGGTTTTGCACCTGCTCCTCAGGGACAGGCTCTTGACTGAGGCTCTGTTAATGTCTCTTTGAGGATAAACAATGTTTGACATGTAGGAAATGTAAATAAATATTTGCTGAGTGAATAAATAAACCCCACCTTGATAGAGACCCCATTAGCTTCACTTTGAGGCCATGAGAGGTTGTCCCATAGACTGGCAGGCGCTCTGACTCATTCTCTAGGATGGAAAGAAACAGACCAAGGCAACTCTAAAATAAGCTAGTCCCCTCCTGTGCAAAAGAGACGGAGGTGGGTCATCCCAGGGGGGACACGGACCTGGCCCCGCTGAGCATCAGGGGGCAAGACTAACACTGGGGGAGGAAAGCCCTTCTCCAGAGGCCTGCGGCCCAGGTCTGGTGACCTGCAGGCTGGATCTACCCAAGGCTGGGATGACCAGGATGTGGTTGTTGCTCTGGAGGCTGATGCTGGCTCAATGGAAGACTCTCCAGAGACTTCACTTGTCTTCAAAATTCAGAAGATCTGGCCTTCTTGGCGCCCCATCCCACAGGGCAGCAGCTCGAATCTGACCCTCCCTTAGCACAGGATGGCAGCTTTCTGGGCGGCCCCATCCGCTCCAGCCTCTGTTGTCATTTATCACAGCACTTGGACTGCAGTTTTTCTTGCATTAAAACACTGTTTCAGGCTTCCGTGGTGGCTCAGCGGTGGAGAACCCACCTGCCAATGCAGGAGACATGGGTTCGATCCCTGGCCTGGAAAGATTCCACATGCCTCGGAGCAACTAAGCCCGTGTGGCCCAACTACTGAGCCCGAGCTCTCGAGGCCGGGGACTTCAGCTTGCACACCCCAGAGCCCGTGTCCCCAGTGGGAGAGGCCTCCTCACTGAGAAGCTCAGGCACCGAAATGAAGAGTAGTCCCCCCGTCTCCAAAACTAGAGAAAAGCCCTCACAGCAACAAAGAACCAGCACAGCCAAAAATAAATAAACAAATAAATAAAATTATATTAAAAAAAGACACTGCTTCTCAGTACAGATGCCTATCAAAAGTGGGACAAAGAAAGAAGCACTGGGAAGACCCTGTGTGTCCATGAAATCGGAGAAAGGATTTATACTGTGAATTCGAGGAAGATTCCCAGTTGTTTAAAACGCAAAGACCTGGAGGAGGAATGGGTCCCTGATTTGTTTCGCTCACTGCAGGCCTCCCCTCCCCCTTACCCCACAGTTTTCTTTGTCTATTGAGAGAGATCTGGGCAGGGTGATGGGTCCCTTCTCCCAAGCAGGAGGAGACCAGACCCAGCCCACCTTTCAGTTCCCAGTCTCTTGGGAGAAGAGAGATGGAAATTCTTACAAGAGAATAAATCAAATAAGCAAAGACCTGAGGATGTCAAGAAGTCAGTACCCAAGTCCAGCCTGTCTGAGACACCATTCTTCCTACAAATGCATCCCAATTGCTGCCAAGGACCCAGACCTGCACGCTCCAGGGAGTGTCAGCCACCTGCCCTGGGATGCTTTTGCAGTTTCAGGATCTTGAATGGATCCTCCCAGGCTCTGAAATGAACACCAATGTTTGATTACACATAATCTTTAAAAAGTGTACTAGAATCACATGCTCAGTTGCTAAGTCATGTCCGACTCTTTGCAACCCCATAGAGTGTAGCCTGCCAGGCTCCTCTGTCCATGGGATTTCCCAGCCAAGAATACAGGAGTGGGTTGTCATTTTCTCCTCCAGGAGATCTTCCCAATCGTGGGATCTAAACCTAGTCTTCCATACTTAAGCCCCTCTGATCGTTTCCTGTCTAACTCAGAGCAAGAATCAAAGTCCTTTCAAATGCCCACAAGGTGTTGGGCCACCTCCACACACAGAGACACACAGCCTCCCCCACCCCACGCTCCCTCCACGACTCTGACCTCATCAATGTCCTCACTCACTCCTCTCATCATACTTGCTTCCCTGCTGTTCTTCAAACACCTCCTACCCCAGGACCTTTGCACTTACTGTTCTCTCTATGAGAGAGATGAGAGCACATTCTACTTTTTGTTCATGTTTCCCCCCCCCCCCAAGTTCTATAGCAATACTTGATGCATATGAATGGTCAATCGTTATTTGCTGAATGACTAAACAAATGAGAGAATGATTGAGTAGCAGTTAGAAGCTAGCACCTAGAGGGATGTGGTAGGATTTTAGATAGCTTAGGACCTAGGGAAGCATAAATAAAAAGGTCTAGGAGCATCTTAGAGCCTGAAAGCTGGATGCAGCCAGACCTCAGTGGGGTCTAAAGTTGCGAACACAGAGGGGCCTCTCTCCATCCTCACTCTGGCTTCTTTCTGCACATTTGCCCTGTTTCTCCTTATCAATAGATCAGCTTTCTCTCTTACTCAGTCCACACGGAGATGGCAAAGAAGAACCGAGGAAGCAGCTACCCTACAACTCTCATGTCCTTTATTATACACCCTGTTACTCAGTTAGTGTCTCTGGGTCACTTTCTTTGCAAATTTCCAGGGTAAGATCCCTGGTTGGTCCAGATTTGCCAAGTGCCCAGCTCTGATCCAATCAATGTGGTCTGGGAAGTGAGGTCATGTTCACGAACATGCATTCCAGGAGCCCACCCTGTGAATGGGAAAGAAACAACGTTTAATGCCGTGAGCGACAGTCGAGGAGACGTCCAAAAAAAGAAGGCACTGAAAAACCTCTTGCATAGAGAGACCTCTCCTTGACGAATACAAAAGTTTGCTCCAAGAAAGGGAACTAGCCTTGCAGTTCTCCCAGTTTTTGCTTCATGACAAGTTTGATCCAGCCCACGAAATGAATCTCCATCTCAAGTTGGATGCTGTATGTGCGGTTCCCAGCTCACCGGCGACTATGCTTCGGTTTAAGGTGCTGCCACAAGAGGGCGCATAGAGGAGGGAATCTAACTCTCCCCTAGGCTGGTCCTCGGAACTCCCCGGCAGCAGACCCAAACGGGTTAGCTGTAGTCAGTCCGCAAGGCTGGCAGAGACTCAGAATTCTTGGCCTGGTGCCCGGCGCTGCCACGTGTCCTGAAGCATGACACCTCCCAGGCAAATTTAGTCACTTTATTATGACTTGGAGGATTGGCTCAACCTTAAAAGAATTTGCAGAAGAGCTGTGGCAGGCGGCCTCAGCTGGAGGCAGCCCTAGGGACTATATATCGTTGTCATTAGTTGCCCAGTCGTGTCAGACTCTTTGTGACTCCGTGGACTGTAGCCCACCAGGCTCCGCTGTCTACCTAATTCTCCAGGCAAGAATACTGGAGTGGGTTGCCATTCCCTTCTCCAAAGGAACTTCCTGACCCAGGGATCGAACTCACGTCTCCAGCACTGCTAAGCAGATAGTTTTACTGCCGAGCCAGCGGGGAAGCCAAGGACTACACACCAGGCAGGCAAAGTGGCGAAGTTCTGAACCTGAAATCATCAACAGAGGTTAGTGCTAGGGAAACAGGAGGCTTTAACTTTCTTCCCCTTTGCATATCTAGTGATGTTTAAAAGTTCAATGAACATGCACTGCTCTTAAAATTCACTTGTTGCTCCACATCTTGGATTCTTTTCACGTGGGGCTGTTCTGAATAAAGTTGTTTTGGCCTCTGTGCACAAGTCCAA